GGCAGCACCAGCACGGAGGGGGGGGCTGCCCGAGCGCCGCTCCCGCACCGTCCCCACAAACTGCCTCCCCCCGCCGCGTCTCCTTCCAGCGCTCGCCTCACTCTGCTTAATAGGCTGCTGCTGCCAGGGATCCCATCTCAGCGGTGCTGCTCGCCCAGGGGCTGGAGCGAATCCTGCTGATGCTCTGCAAACCCTGGTTGCAGCCGGGACGCGATGGCTGCTGGGGAGGGGGCCCTGCCCCAGGGGGGCACCGGGGCTGGCCACTGCCGGAGCCGGCTGGATGCTCGGGAAGGTACCAGGGGAGCAAAGCGAGAACCCGGCGGGGGGTCACCGGGGCTTGGAGGGGATTTGGGAACCGCCCCTGCAATGCCCGCAGCCCCGGGGGGGTGCCCGTCCTGCGGCAGCCACCACAGACCCTGTCACCCGCTGGGACGTGGCCTTTCGTCCCTCCCCGGCCGGACCCTGTGCCCAGCCCTGCGCCTCCCCCAACCTGCAGCCCACCGAGCTCGGGGCGGGGGGCTGCTCCCGCCTGGCTGGCCGAAGGCTGGTGGTACCCCGAGCCTGCTCGCCGGCAGCAGAGTCTCACCGAGGCGGTAGTCACGGCACGGCCAGGAGCGCAGAGCCCCCCGGCACACGCTGCCGGGCTCGTGCCGGCGCAGCGGGGCTCACCGGGCGATAGCCACAGCCTCGGCACGAGCCGGGATGCGCAGGCACTGCCTCAAACCCGGCCTGGCACACGGGTGCCTGTGTGTGCCCTGTGCCGGGGGGGCTCGTGCCCACCTCCGCCCTCGCCGGGGGCTGTGGTTTACCAGCAGCGCTCCCCGCTCAGGCCACCTCCTGCCCCTCCTCAGCGGGGTTCCCACAGCCTGGGAGCCTCCCACACCCCGCTGCCCTGGCCTGGGGGGTCCCAGCACTGGGAAGACCCCTGCTCCTTCCTCGGACCTTTGGTTCCCTCCTGCACCAAGGCACCCTTCTCAGCATTCCACACTGCCGGCACTCGCCCCGGCCCCACGCCTGCTTGCCAACACCAGCTGCCCCTCAGGGACTAACGCCCTGCCCGGAGGGGCTGCGCTGTCCCCGCTGCTCGCCAGCAAGCCCTGGGAACGGGGCAGCATTGCTCCCCCCGCCCGCGGAGCTGCCGCCGGCACAGCCCCGCTGCCAACGTCCCTCCGGCGCGACGGACGCCACGCACCCACGCGTGGGAGCCCCGTCCGTGGCCGGGAGAGCCGCTGGGGAGCCCGGACCCCGCCGTGACTCTGCAGATCCCTGGAGGAGCCCGGGGTGCTCAGCCCCAGCGCCCAGCACCCCTCCTGGCCCTGGCTGCAAACCCGGGAGCCGGCCCAGCCCTGGGGCAGCGCAGGAAAATCGGGTGTGAAATGGCCTTTCTGACTTGGACACTGGGCCCTGAGCAAGGGCGGACGGGGGCAGCCAGGGGTGGGGGGCGGCGGGAGCCAGCGTGGGCAGCCTGCGCCTGCTCTCCTAATTAGCCTTTCTTCTTTGTTAAACCATACCCCTCCACCGACTGCCTGTAATGCTTTAAAAGAATGATAGATACTAAATTTAATTTAATCTACTCATTCACCCATCACTATAGTACTAAAATAGGAATATACCTATAAAAAGAGCATCAGCAGGCAGTGTAGGCCTAAATTACAGCTATTGTGGGAAAACCAGCTTTGCAAAGTCAAAATTAATATCAGTGTTTTCAATATAATGGAAAAAAAAAAAAAAAAAAAAAAAGGAAAACATGTTTTTTGCAGCTTTAAAGCCTGGCCTCCCCTGTGCGAGCGAGGCGGCCGCTGCAGTGCGGGCGCTCGGCCGGAGCCGGGAGCCGCTGCGCTGGGTCCCGCGTCCGCGCAGGCAGGGGGAGAAACCGGGTTTGAAACGAGCCCGCTGCTGCACCACGCTACGATATCGCTCGGAATAGACTTGCTCCCTAAAAATATAATATGCTAAACTTGGCAGCAGCCCTTTTGGAAAGGAATTTTCCAAGCAGCCTTTTGCAGAGGCAGTTTCCCGGCGGGCCAGGCGCTGCTCAGCCGAGCCTCCTGCGCCGGGGGCCGGGCAGCGCGGTGCGAGCGCGGGCACCGGGGATGCCCCCGGCGAGCGGCACCTCGGGGGCAGCTCCACACGTCTGCCCCGCGCCCCACGCTCGCGCCCAGCCCCGCACGCACACCACGGCCAGCACTGGGGTCTGTCTGGGGTCAGTCCTGGAGCAATTTGCTGCTCGCTTGTAATTACAGCGGAGATGCTTCCTGAGCACCCAGCTCCCTGCACCCAGCTCCCTGCTGAGCAAGAGCTCACCGTTACCAGCAAGCCCCACCGCAGGACGCGGCGTTCTGGCTTGCCCCGCACCGCCAGTGCGGGTTGCTCCACCGCGGACACCCCCCGTTCCTGCCACGGCCCCGGTGCTGGAGCGTAGCAGGGCCGGGGACATTCCGGCACGCAGCACCACGCAGAGCGCCGCGAACCACAGCTCCCACAGCCGGGGCTGGGGCGGCCACGCAGAGGGAGCTGGGCTGGGCGAGCTGCCGGGTGCCTGTGGCCACTTGGATGAGCCACTTGTGCTGCCGGAGCCCGGCAGTGGCTGGGTTTTCCCTGGTGCTGGGCTAATGGAAGTTTTGCAGACAACTTCATCGCCTGGTCGTTCCTTCAGATACCGGCACTGCCAAAACCGCCGGGGCTGGGGAGCTACGAAACATGAGCAGCCTGCTCGGGAGCAAACACAGCAAACGCCAGCAAGCTCCCTGCGGGGAGAGCACGTGCCCCAAGGGGATAAGGCCCCTTCCTGCGCCCAGACCCTGTGACCCCCCAGCTCTTGGAGCCGTGGGGCTCAGGCACCATCCGCGGGTATGCGCCCACCCCGGGTCTGCTGCAGGGAGATCTGCCTCCCTACGTACACACACACTCTGGACAGGGAATCACAAACCAGGGGGTCTAACCCGGGCCCCCCTCAGACCCCATGTCACAACACCTTTGGGGAGAGCGGCTTAAACCCCTCCAGGCATCTCTGGCCCCGCAGAGGTGAGTCGAGCCAGCGGGGCAGAAGCGAGCTCCCCGAAGGTGTGCGCATCCTAAATCCAGAGTGAATTCCAGGATAAAACAGCGGGCACCGGGCAGGCCCATTGCTCAGCCGGGCAGGCCGAGGCAGCGCGTGCCCTGTGCCCCCTCCCCGCACGACGGCCACCAGCGACGTCCCTCGGCCTCGCGCCTCGTTGCGACACGCACCAGGAGCGCCCCGTCCCAAGCGCTGGGTGCAGAACCTCAGCAAGGGACAAGCCCTGGGGAGAGGACGGAGATTCTGGCCTCCATCATGCTCATTAGCTGGGTGAAAATCCAACTCCAAATCTCCTCATAAAACCCTCCTCCCTGGCTCGCGAGTCCAGCCCCGCTGCCAAGGAGCAGGAGGCTTCTGGGAGAGTGGGGAGGAAGAAACGCTAAACGCGGTGGTGAAATTAAAACAAACAGGGCGATGGGGGAACCCGGAGCTGCTGGGCGCCGAGGGCCGCGCACCGGGGAAAAGCTTCTCCTTCCCGGCGACCCCAAACTCCCCCGGTGCGCAGCCCCTGCCCACCCGCAACGCTGCCAGCCCCCGCTGCCTGCAGCCCCAGCCCCAGGCGAGCCCCGCACACGAGGGGATCCCGGCCGGAGATCTCCCCACACGGGCTCCGGGCCCCACATCGGTTCAAAGCATCCATGGGCTCCCTCCAGAGGCACAGAAACCTCCCCCGGGGACGGGTGCTGCTCGGTGTGGGATGTGCCTGAGCAGCGGCTGCGGGGACCTCGGTGCAGCCTGGGGAAGCCGAAACCGAAATCCAGCCCGGCCGCAGCTCTCCCCAGCCTCTGTCTGCAGGAGGGCGCAATAAATCACGCCCCTGTCTCAGCCGGCCTCTGCAGCAGCCCCCGCGTAAGCCCCGGCCCCGGGCACACCCCGCCGCCGCACTTGTGTAACCAGCAGCAGCCCCAGCGTTGCCAGCCCCGTCTCCGGTCGGGGTGACCCTGGGCCTCGCCGTCCCCACCGCCAGCGCAGCCGCGCTCCGGCCGCAGGCTGCGGGCACCCCGCCGGACCAAAACGCTCCCCAGCCCTTCCCCGCCGGGGCGGGAGAGTTTGCGCCCGCGCCGCCTGTCCTCGGCTGCCGGGCGAGCCGCGCAGGCCACGCCGAGTGCGGTGAGGATGCTATGAATTTTTAAACTCCTGAAAGCACAAATGGAGCAGTTCGCCCGGCTGGAAGACGGGATTTCCGACGCAGCAAAGAGGCTTTTGAAGAAAACGCTGCCTCTCCCCGAGCTGCGCTCCCCCCGGGATGATGAGCCCGGAAACGCGGCGTGCCGGGTCCAGCGCGGGGCCCACGGGCAGCCCCGCGGGACAGCACACCCCGGCCAGAAGTTAAGGACCAAACCGACGGGCCGGGCACCCTCTGGCCGGGCTGCCCAGTCCCGGGGCTCACCCAGACCCGCTCCCCCCCTCCCCGGTCCCTCTGCAGCACCTCCCTGCCGACAGCGAGACAAACCCACGCACGCTCGACCCCGCAGCCCGGCTGCAGACACGCACGACGTGACGGCACACACACACACACACACACAGAGCCATACATGCACACGCGTGTGCTCGCACGAGCTCATCACCTTCCCTCCTCCCCAGAGGCTGCTCAGGCCATGCAGGAGCCTCATTCCTTTCTCCGAGCATCCATCATCGCCGCTCGCCTCTGCCGAGGCGGGGAAGGCTCTGCCTGCCGCACTGCCCGCGCCTCAGCCGCTCTCCAGCCCCGGTCGCGCTCCCAACCGCCTCGGCAGAGAAACCGGAGAAAGCCCCAAGGAACCGCGGCCGAGGACCACTGGCCACCACTGCAACACAACTGGCCGGAGCCGCGGGGCTGGTGCCGGCGAGGCCCCGCGGCTGGGGAGGAAGCAGTTAAGCTCTGACCCTCTGCCGAGAGGGAACCAGCCAGAAACACGTGTGAACCGGAAAGCAAAAAAATCCCCCGGAGAGGGTGACTTACCTGTTGGAGGTAGAGGAAGGCTGGAGGACAGGGGAGAGAGTGAGGAAGCATGCCTGAGTTGGAGACAAGGAGGCAGCCCGAGTTAGCCATGGAGCACAGCATGTGTCGACAGGTAGCCGTGAAGCTGCTCGCGGGTCCGTCCTCTTCCGCACAACCGCTATCCTCGTCTTCCCGGCTCGCCCCTCGGGCTCTCCCCTCCTCGCCGTCCCTCCCGACCCCTCGGCGCGAGTTAGGAGGGATTCATCTGCGCCGCGTGCCCCCGAGCAGCGCTCGCCTGGTCACTTCGGTGCCATCAGACACTGGCACTGAGCGCACGGTCTGCAAAGGGTGTGTGTGAGCCAGAGCGGGAGCGGAGAGAGAAAGGAAGGGGAGGAGGAAGGGAGAGAGGGCGAGGGAGTGAAATAAAAGGGGTGGGAGTTGGAGGAGGAGGGGGAGTCCCCTGTGCATTCAGACATCAAACAGAGCTCTGTATAAAATGAAGAGAATCCGTAATGACATGAGAACAGCTGATCCCGCACTTAACCCCTCCGCCGCCGCTCGCAGATGGCTTCCCCGCCGCCCGGGCAGCCCCCGGCCACACGCCGCCGCGCCGGGGGAGCGGGCGGGCAGGATGGGGCCGAGCGGGCAGAACCGTCTCCCTTCCCGGCGCTGGCTCCCCAGGGACGAGGGGTCTTACCGGGAGTTTCGGTGATGCGAGGCGGGCGGCCCGGGAAGCCGCGCCGAGCAGCCCCCCGCGATGGCAGCGCCGGGGCGGGCAGCCGCGGGACTCCCCCACGCACACACAGCCGGACACGTGCACACGCACCACGCTCTCCTCGGGAGACACACACGCAGACAGGGACGGGCAGGGAGCCATGCAGCAGACCCAGCTCCGCCTCCCCGGAGAGGCACATACCTGCTCACGCCTGCGGCCCCGCAGCGCGCACGGCCCCGGCAGCCACGCGCTGCACCGCCGCGGGCTCGTGCCACTGCAGACACGGCCAGTAGCCCGCCGGCCCCGCCACGTGTGAAGGAGTGCGAGCCCAGGGCAGGGCCTGCCAGCCCCCATTGGCACCCCCCAGGGTGGCACGGAGGGGCTCTGCCCGCAGGCTCCAGCCTCCCCGGAGCGATGGGGACCCCCTGCCCCGAGCACCTCTCGCCTGCGGCAGGCGGGGGGCCGGCCCTGGCAGAGCTCAAGAGGCTTTTTGGCATTTCAGCCTGGCCTGCCAGAGCTGCCAGGGGCCCTGATGCATCAACACCACGCGCACCTCTGTCACAGCTGCCATGGCAATAGCCTGCGTGCCGGTGCCCGTGAGGGACAGCCGGCGTGGGCACACACGTGTGCTCGTTCAGGTCCCCACTCCCACTTCGCGCCTCCTCCCATCGCAGCCACGCAGGAGCCCCGGCACCCTCGGGTGCCGCAGAACCCCGCGCTGGCACGGGGGGTCCCCGCCCCAGCACCCCGCTCCGTGTCGCACCCGACTCCAGGAGCAGCCGGGCCGGCGTTGTGCTTGGGCATGTAGGAAACAAAACCTGGGCTCAGTTCAGTTCCCATCTCGGCCAAATATGATGCACAAAGGCAGGTCTGTGCCAGCAGCTGCTGATGCTCCGACTCCACCGGAGCCTCCCGCACACGACCAGCCCTATTCGGAGGCTGGGATTTTCCACAGTATCCCCAGACATAGCGACATGCTGCAGTGTCCTGGTACACTCACAGCGGTTCCCGTTTCTGCTGCAGATACTCAACAGCAGCGGCGTGCGGCACGGCCGGCCCGGAGCCACCGGGCAAACCTGGTGGGAACAAACAGCTCTGGGAAAAGCCATCCCGGGGAAGCAGCGGCCGGGGATGAGGGGGTGCCAGCCCCCCTACGGGGTCCTGTGGCTCCAAAGGGACTGCAAGGTGCCAAATGGGGGAGGGGATGCTGGGCCGGGAGGGGGAGGGTTTCTCATCGCCCCCGTGGCACCGAGAGCTGAAAGGAGGCTGGCAGCGAGCTCCCGTGTCCCACCACGACCACTCGCCCTCCAGCTCCTGAGGGGTCATGCCAGACCCCGGTGCAGCGGCCCGTCCCACGCACCTCGGTGCTCAGACCCCGCGCTCCTGGCTCGCCCCCACTGCCCCCCTCCCCAGGGGCTCCGGGGGCTCCGGTGCCGCACTCTCCCGCACGCTCCAGTGCCCGGGGCAGGACGCAGGGCAGCTCTGCCAGGGCTGGGGGACATGCACGTCCTCCCACAGCCCCTCGGGCAGCGGAGGGGAGAGGGGCCCCACCGGGCACCCCTGTGCACCCTGGCACAGGGCGACGGGCAGCTCCAAAGGCCCTGGGCTGGCCTGGCTCCGCTGTGGTCCCTGCGCTGCTCTCGGGCAGAGGGGGAAAGGGATGGGCATGGCCCGATGCTCTGGGCTTGTGGTGCCCAACCAAGAGAACCATGTGAGCCGGGAGCCGGCTCCAGGATGAGGTAATCTGCCCGTCCTCCCCCGCGCCGGAGCCTGGCTCCGGGCAGGGTGACTCAAAGGTGCTCCTGGCCGGTGGCAGCACCACGAGCCCTGGCGCTGCCGGCAGCCCACGCCGCGGGGAGGTCCGGGCTGGCAGCCGCAGGGCCAGGGGAGACGCTGCAGGAACGCACGGTGTGATGGGCTGGACAGAGACCCCGGCCCTAACGGTGCAGACCCCCTGCACCACTGCCAGCAGCAAGAACTAGCCGTGTTTCCCCAGGATAAACACCTGGGCAGCGGGGAAACCGGGCACGGGCGCTCCTCCAGCCGTCACCAACATCTGCCTGGGCGCAGAGATGCCCCCCAGCAGCGGGGACCCCCCGGGGGGGCACCAGCACGGCAGGGCTGTACCAACCCACCGGCCAGCTCTGGCGTGGGGAACACGTCCCCGGCCACCACCAGCCGATTTCCCTCGCCCCGCTGCTCCCAGCCGCCGTGCCACGGCAGCCCCACGGCGCCCGGGCCCGAGGAGCCGCGGCCAGGGCTGCCCAGCCCCACAGAGCCGCAGCCCTGGAGGAACCCCTCCGAAACCGAAGTCTCCTGGAATGAAAGTTTATTTATCTGTTTAATTAAGATGTGTTCACCAGGCGCACAGACCCCGTTCCATCTGTCTCACTTACAGCCGCGTCCCAGTAAAATTAAACCTAATAAATATCAGACGAGGGAAAGCAAAGGGCACATGTAAGATATATGATCAAAGGCAGAAGTTGCACAGGGCTGCAGTTCTAAGCGCATCTTTCTCTCTGCCCTTCGGGGATGGGTTGGCGATGCGCTCCCATGCACAGGATGGGGCTGGCTTTCCTTCAAATCAGCACTATTTTCATTTTTTATTTATTTTAAATGAACCCTTGAGGGCTCCTTGGTTTTGTTTTCTGGAAGAGGGAGAACAACGTGGCACCAGGACAGGACCAGCTTCGGTCACTGGTCCGGAGCCCAGCGAGGTGCCGGAGCTGAGGGGCAGAGCCTGCGCCGGGGGGACTGACGGGCGCTCGCCCCCCGAATCACTGAGGGAACCCACCGGGGAAAGCGCGATGCTCGGGGCTGCTCCCAGGCTGCCGGGCCGCACCGGCTGCATGTGCTCGGGAGCACGGCCGGCTCCCCGCTCCCGGTGCTCAGCTCCGCTCCGCGGCACGCTCGCCTCCGCCCTTCGGAAACTTCATCTGGCAGAAACGAGGGCCCCGAGCTGTGCTGGAGCCCTGGCCAGGGCTCTGCCCCGGGGCACCCGTGGTGCTGCGCAGGCCGGCGCCGCGGCACGGCTGCGGCACCTCCCACCCACCCCTGTGCCGATGGGCCCCCGCGCACGCTGCACCAAGCCCTTGAGCACACGTCAGACCTGCTGCCCGCCAAAGGGCGGCCCCCAACGCCACGTCCGGACCCCCCCTCCGGGATGCAATGGGAAATCACAGCCGCCGGCGCTGCAGACCTCACCGGGACGCCATCCCACACCCTCTCCCGGCGGAGGGGGATGAGGCGGCGGCTCACGGACCTGCGGAGGGGACGCAATGCACAACCACGGGTGGGCTGGATGCCCCAGGGGCTGCAAGTGTCCGGTGCTTAGCGGGACCCCCGGGGCACCCCCCTGCGTGCTCCCGCTGAAAGGGGCCGCGGTGCCGCCGCGGTGGGGACCGGGCAGGTCGGGTGCTCCCGGCCTCCGCGGGGTCACCCTGCGAGCGCAGCGCCAGTGGCCCCGCAGCACCCGGGGACCGCGGCACCCGTCTAGCCCTCCCCTCCCACCCGCTCCAGGATGCCCCCAAGCCACGGCATTCATTAATTAAAACCTCATTAGTAGTTAATCATAGACATAAAGCAATTAGATGAAGGCGCTGATGGATCTGAGGTGCCGTGAAGCGAGGGGAAGGTCCTGCAGCCCGGTTGGCTCGGCCACAGGGATTGTCCCAACGCTGGGACGGGGAGAAGGGACTGACAGAGGTGACGGGCGAGAGCTCCGTTTGCCGGTGGCCTCTGCCCCTGCCACGCCATCGCTGTGCCGCTGCTCCCTCCGCTTGAGCTCTCCCCATGCTCTCCCAGCCCCTCTGTGCATGGGCAGCATCAGGATTTACCGGGACTGGACTGGGACAGAGACGTCTCTCTGACAGGCGCCGAGGAGCCGGGGGCCACGGGGGCCCTGACCGTTCCCAGTCAGGGGTCCCCCAGCTGCGGGACTCGCACCGGCACCAGCACGAACCAAAGTGCTTCCTCCTGATCCAGCGCCGCCAGCCCCAGCCGTGCCACAACTCCCGGCCAGCTCAGCTCCCACCGTCCCAGTGCCACGTGCTGCCCGAACCCCCGCGCGCTCCCCCAGCCCCGCAGACAGCCGCACAGCCACCTATAGATTTCTGGTTTCTCGCTCCATCACTAAAAGACAGATGTGGTTTAAACTAACCGCAGGCATTCAACTTCCTCTCCATCTTCCCCTGCTCCTTCATCCTCCTCCTCCCGCAGCTCTCAGGGGGTCACTGGAGCCCCCACTCGCTCTGAACTCCCAAAGAAGCTGCAGTTTGTACGGGGAATCTCCGCTCTGCACCTTCCCAGCTGCTTCTCGCTGCTGCTGACCCAGATCCTACCCCGGTCGCCAGCTGCCGCAGCGGCCATGGGGTCACAGGTAGGGGTGGTGATGTCAGCACCCAGGTATGACATCACCAGGCAGGGAGGGGACCGCGAGCAACACACAGCAAGTACCTGAGACAGCAGCTGTGGCAGCCGGGAGGGGAGCAGAAATGCAGAGAAACACAAAGTTTAACGGGATCTAGGGAAAAACCCCCTCCCTGAAACTTTCCTCGCCCACTGCGGGAGGGGACGGGACCTGGGGACCCTTCAGGCGCCGGGCAGAGCAGGAGGGTGGCTGGGCCAGCACCCCGGAACATCCCACCGCCTCTTGGGCCACCCCCCCGCCCCTCAGCCCACACGGGGAGCGCCTCGGGACCCTCAGTGCTCTCTGCAAAACGGAGCCCCGGTTGCAGCCGTCCTGCGAGACACGCGGGCAGGGAAGCCGGTGTCCCCCCGTCAGCCGGCACGAGAAACGGTGCAGGGGCAGCCGGGCACGTCCGAGCTCTGGGCTCACTGCGGGACACGCGGCAGCTCCCGCGGGGACACGGTTGACGCCTGCGGCTGGGCAGGACAAGCAGGAGCTTGTCACCGCAGCGGCAAGAGAGCCTGGCTTCTCGCCTTCAGTCAGCGTGGCCCTTCCTAAAGCCCTCTCACTTGACAAAATATTTACATGAAATGGCAATTAGGCTCCCTAGATTTAATGAGAATTAACACGCAGGCAGCAGAACCGTGGCAGAACAGCTGCTGCCGAACACCTCGAGCCCACGGGCCGCGGCAGGTCCGAGGGCTGTGCCACGCTCGGCAGGGTGCACCGCGGCGGCACTGCCGGGGCCAGAGCCACGGCCACGACAGGGGCAACGCGGGACGGGGGGTGGCGCGAGGAACGAGCACCGGCAGACCCGGGGACCCGAAATGCTGCATTCCCACGGCCCCCCCCTTCCCCGGGATCAGACCCGCTGCCCATCGAGGGGTTCCCAAGAAAATGCCCCCCCCCCCCCCCGAGCTGGTGCAATGCTGCACACTGGCCTTGCAGGCTGCAGTGCGGGGGGGCTTCAGCATCAGCCTGTGGGGTGCCAGTGCAAGGGGCAGGGTGGGATGGCTGGGGCCGGCCGGGGGGGCCAGCGCATCCCCGAGCAGGGGCGAGAATGGGGGCACGCGTGGCTCTGCTGGTGCTGGGCACGGGGCGGCCCGGGCTGGGAGACCATCGGGAGCGGCAGACCGGGGCCCTGGGCAGAGGGGGAGCACCAGGCAGGAGGTGCTCTGGAAGCAGACACTCAATCCTCATTATAAGGCTTTTTAAATGCACAGACAGGGTATTAGCGTTTAAACAGGCTCTAGGACTCCAGGGCAAACTTTAAAAATCATAATATTTATAGAACCCTCCCTCCACTCGCCCCACATGCTCTTTATTTCGCCTGCAATTACTGCTAATTTGAAGACATTTTGCTTTGGCATCTCAGCCGGCTGCGGTGTCGGTTGCCGAGCCCCCCCCGCTGCCGCCTGCCACCGCAGCGCTCCCCGCAGTGCTCCCGACGGTGGCCACGCTCCCGCCACGCAGGGAAACCAAACCCCTCCGCTGCCTCCCACGCTCGCGACGGAGAGACGCCCGCGATGCCAAGAAATGACGCTCAGCCGGGAGCAAAGCCCTGGCACGGCCTCTCTCCCAGCAGGGCTGGGGATGCCGCCGCGCCCCGCGCGATGCCGAGACCTGGCCGTCGCGGGGCCCGTGCGTGGCGCGGGCTGGGGAAGGGAGACCCCCGAGTGCCGCTGCCCTGCCCTGTGCCGCAAACGTGCTGCGGGGAGCCGCGCTGGAGCTCCGGCGGGGGCCGGCACCCCGGGGCTGCTGCCCCGCGCCCTGCCCCGGCTGCGGCTCCGCGAAGCCACGCGGCGCCTACGGAGCCGCAAGCGGATGCTCCGGAGCAGTTTGCTGCTCCCACGGCCGTGGCGGCTCATTAAGTCCCTGGGCAGAATTAACGTCACAGCAGGAGAAGGCGCTGCGAGTTCCGACGGGCTCCCGGCTGGCGGGGATCGGTGGCT